GTACTGTTGTAGTGTTCTTTCCTTACATAAATATCTATTCTTCAAATGTTTTGCTTTCGAGGTATGCTTTAAAGTTATACATTCCTTAACGTGTTCTATTTTTATTTATTTTTTAATTCATTCACATGGTCCAAAAGCATGAGAAAATCTGTACATATACACCTTATCAACCAGCTAAAAGGAGTTTTATACACAGATGTCAAAACTATCTGTTACGAAATTTACATAATAATGATTTTTTGGTGGTATATTAAATAACATACACCAAGTAAACGATAAAATTTTCAACAAAAAAAAAACACAAAATATTGATAAATTGTTAATAATGGTTCGCACCTCCCCTTTTCCTTAAGCACTCAGCTACTCACCTTGGCATTGCATCCCAAGCTACCTGAATAACATCTTGTAGAGAAGCTAAAGTTTGTGTGTGGGGGGGGGGGATTAAATGGGATATTCTTACACCCATCATATCCCACATATATTCAATGGGCGATAGAAAGAGAGATCTGAGAGGCCATGCTAAGAGGCTTACGTGGGAATTTGTAAAAAAGATCATTGAGTGATATGCATAAAGTTTAGTAAATACTAAATACTGAAATTTACAAGTAAATACTGACTTTCGTATGAATAATAATAAGTATAAGCTTATAAGTATTTACTTATTACTTGGTCTTGAAAAATTTTCAGTAAATACTTCAAGTTGCATGCATAATAACAAGTACTTACTTGTACTTGCAAGTAAGTACTTAAAATTTTTCAAGCTACTTTTTAGTAGACTAGTGATTATACTAAATTCAATTCAGTCAACGTGCAGTGTGTCTTAAGAAGGTGATTGACATTTAAAGTTTAGAACAGTTTAGAATGGCGCTATTTGTTCTTCCTTTTCGTCAACAAAAATTATATAAACCCCGGAGACAAGCCTATCCGAATACGTACAAGGCAATGTACAGATTCGAGGAAGAAAACGTGCAGTATTTAGCGGATGTATTTTTGCATGATCAAGCTGAAACTCGTGGGGGTGCTTTATCGGCAAAACAGAAAATGGAAATATTTTTAAGATACATGGGCGATCCGGGATTTCAAGTGGGTGTTGGGGAAGATAGTGGTACCCATCAAAGTACCGTCTCACGGACAGTCCACGAAATCAGTAATAAAATTTACGACAGCGCCCATCAATGGATCAAATTTCCAGCAGAACAGGGAGAAATTGATGCAGAAAAACAGCAGTGGTTGGAAAAATATAACTTTCCTTGCGTTGTTGGTGCTTTAGATTGTACCCAAATTCCCATAAAAAAACCGTATGTGCATGGTGATGAATACATATGCCGAAAATTGTTTTCTTCCATTAATGTGCAAGCCACCTGTAACACCAGAGAATGGTTTACAAGTGTCGACGCCACGTGGCCAGGCTCTGTGCATGATAGCAGAATTTGGAGAAATTCTGCTATATTGCCAATAATTTCGCAGTACCAGGGACAAGCCATTTTATTGGGAGATTTAGGATATGCCATTGCGCCTTGGATCATGACGCCATACAGGAATACGGTAAACCCCGTAGAAGCAAATTTTAATGAAGTGCACAAAAAAACGAGAGTGGTTATTGAAAGGTGTTTCGGACAACTAAAGAAGCGTTTCCCAATTCTTATGAACGAAATTCGAGTGCGGTTAAACAGAGTTCCAAAAATTATTGTTTCGTGTTTTGTTTTACATAATGTGGCAAAATTTGTTAATGATGGTGACTTTCCTGATATCCCGTTAGATGAAGATCAAGACGAACTAGCGGATATTGATGAAAACATTAATATTAGGATTGCAGGAATGCGCCGTCGAAATGAATTGGCACATATTTTATATGGTTTAAGATAGTTTAAAACATTAAAATGTTAAGTATAGAGTTTAATTTACACCCTTTCAAAAAACACTACAATAAGAAAACTAAAAAACGTAATTAATTTTAAAATTCGAAGACCTTTGGACTTTCAGCTTCCATTCGTCTTCGCCGAATTTCATCTTGCTGCACGCGGGCGAGCTTAAGTTGCTCCAAGAGTACAAGCCGCTGCAGCTCATGATTTGATAAATTTCTGGTTTCTTCAGTCTCCGGAAGCTCTCGCCGCTTTTTGGGGGTTGGTGGTAGTGGTAACCGTTTTTCTTGGGGTATTTCGTGCTCCATACTGTTTTTTGGGATCCCTCCAACAGCTGTTGCGCCTGACAAAAATAATAATGCGTATTTACCAAATTTAGTTAAAGACTAATTAGGTACTCATGAACTTACCTGGTACATGGTGGATAATGGGATTGCGGTCACCACTATCCAATAATTTTATGAACTCTTCCTCCCATCGTTTTAATTTAATTTGTTTATTTCCTGTTTTTTTCAAGTCGGTCTTTTTTTTAATTTCTGTTTTCATGTTGTTGATCTTTTTTAATATTTTTGGTTCCGTCATAGATTCTCCATAATCTATAGCGTATTGGCTTGCGAACTTACTTAGAGCAGCCTTTTTTTTCTCTCGGCTGTTTGGTGTTTGTGATTTGGTTAATAATATCGGCCATTTCTTTAAAATCGAAATAAATCTTTCCTGCTTGTTGTTTATTTCAGTAGGTTCGACACTTTCTTCACCGGTTTCGGAGTCTGAGGAACTCATGTTGCAACCAAATTCGTACGTATGACACAAATCACAAAATTATTTTTATGACAGTTACGTTAATCAGTTTTTAAGTATTTACTGGAAAATTGCAAGCATTTACTTATAAGTATAAGTAAAAGATTATGCATATGAATTTCAGTAAATACTTTTACTTGAAGTAACTACTAATAAATAGATGCTTTTACTAAAAGTTTTTACTTGTAGTAAATACTTATTTTTATGCATATCAGCCATTGTTTCGCTTGCAATATGAGGACTGGCGTTGTCCTGCTGAAAAAGAGCTTCTGGAAGCTCTTGAAGGTATCGTAATAGAGACGGTCGAAGAATATAGTCTATGTAACAAACAGATGTCATGTTGCCCCTGTAACACTTGCAAACCATCGCGTTTATTAGAGGCAACCGACGCATTTTTCTGATGGGAACTTTTCCAGAAAACGAAGATGTCATTTCTGTTGAATAATGGTTTATTACTCCGTCCCATCTTACTGCCCAAAATTCCGAAATTACCCTGCAATATCCGTCCGTACCCAAGTTCCCAAAAATCCCCATAGACCGAGCACGTTTTCGGTTTAATGCACTTTATACAATGGGCCCTAGCAATAACGTGGAAACCCATCGTTTAGAGTTGTAAAATTGAAACGTTCTTGATCGAAGCCATTGAGCACCAGATATGTCAGTCTTTGACGCGGAACTTATTCGTAGAGATAGATGATTTTTCCTTGATTGTAGATTGGATAATTGTAAATAGTAATAGGGTTTTTTGAGAAAAGAGCTTTAGTTTCGGCCGGACAGATTGTCTCACTTCCGGATTTGTAGAGGCGTGTTTTGCATTGCCGCTTCGAGCATGGGCCGAAGAAATCGGCCAGCAAATTCCGAAGCGAGGTAATTTTTATTAGGGTTCGAGATAGGAAATTCTCACCGTTTACAATGGGCGAAGAGTACATCTGTAACTTGTGTTTGTTGTTGTAAGCCGATTGTACGGGAAGGATATTTCTATGAATTGGACGAATTTGCCGACAGACCACCCGCTCAAAGTCCTTGCTCGCTTTTTAGGTCAAAGCTGTGGGAAAAAGCCCCCGGCGCGAAACCGCCCCCGAACGGAGGTGGTTGGCTAAGAAGTACCCCCTCTAATCAGGAACTCAGGAAGGTACGACTTGGCTTCAAAATTTTGTCCAAAAATTTAGTTACTGTTTCGGTTCTGAAGTGGTCGGTCGGGAACTTCTCCTGCGGGTTGATCTTTGTGTTTTTGTGTAGGTTTGTGTTAAATTGTCAGCTTTTAATTTAAATTCAGTTTGTGTTCATATAGTTAAGGTTGTCTTTGTTTTTGTGTTTTGCTTTGAATAATTTTCTAAACGTGTGCGATTAATAAAGGAGGCTGGTCGAAACTACTCTGTAGTTTTCTTCCTTTTTTTTTTGACAACCCCTCTTTACGGTTCGTGAACATCAGCTGTGAATTGTGTGACCTGGTGTCGACGCCGCCATCAAAAAGGTAAGAGCAATCATTTTGTTTATTCTCACATTAATATTGTTGGGACCCACACCGGTCTGGCTAGACCGGGCTACACCCCTAACAAAGACTAAGGGCGATCGGCTACCATACGCAATGGCGCCCCATACCATTACCCCTACAGTGCGATGTACATGTCTTTCGGCTGCAAACTGCGTATGCTGCTGTTCTCCTCTCCTTTTTTTTTCTCACTCTCTTACAACCATCATGAGTCCCCAAACAGAAGCGAGATTCGTCGCTGAAGACGACATTTTTTCATTCGTCATTCCACTGCTGACGTTCTCTACACCGTTATAGCCTCTGGCTTTTGTGCTTTGGAGTCATCGGCAACACCAGCAATACGACGGTAGGCATCCTCAGCAAACCATTGATCTGCAACCTGCCCGGTAGTGAAGAAACGGTCGCGAAGAGCCTGTCTTGACGAGTTGTTGTGTGCCTCCTACGTCCAGTGTTTTTCATCCTCCCACAAACCAGGCCCGACAAATCCGTAAAACAGTTGAGGGGTCGCGATTCACAATTCGACAATTTCACAGAAAGACTTTCTCACTTCTCTCATGGCAACTATTCGACCTTGCTGAAATGCATCAGACTAGTAGTACTGTTGAAGTTTTCGTATACGAGGATTGTCAGAACAAGCATAAATTGATGACTAAAGTGTTGCTAATAAACAATATTCACTTAAGAAAACTAAAGCAAACGACCTCAAAAAGACGGTAACCACATTTAATAAAATTATGAAAACTTTATCATAGGTACGTTGTTTTATTGATGTCAAGTTCGTATACCGAGTTTAAGCAAAATATTTCAACCCCTTTTAGGTTTATGTCACTTGGTATATTATAACATACTCGTGTTAACCGTTGCTTAGATATTTCTTGTGCCCCCTTTAGGTAGTTAAAGTTTTTGACCATTTTCAAGAATTTTTTCAAAATTCGATTCTTTATCTTCTCGACCTGCTCTAAAGTTGTACATTCTTGTACCTGCTCGATATATACATTTTTTAGTTCATCTTCATAGTCTAAAATTGTATGAAACTCATTAAATAGTGCATCAAGCGGCTAAAAAGAAATTTTGATGCCATTTTAAACAGATCTCGAGACTATTTGTTGGGTTTTAACGCAGAAATTAGCTTGCAATTTTATTAAAAAAGTATACCTCTGTAAGTTGTTGTTTAAAACTTCCTCGCATTTTTTTTGTGCCCAACTTCATCTCCCGTGCCTTTTCAAATTCTTTCAGAATTTTACTTTCCTCATTTTCAGCTTGTGTTGGATCTGTACAGCTGCCTAAACGCTTTTTGTATTCGTCTCCCTTTATATTCACGAGATGTTGAAGAGAAATCTCAGCAGTTGCCTAAAAGTACCTAATGACTATTGAAAAAGCACTGGTTTCAAACGAAACGATGCAAATTAATTCAGTGCATAACTCTTCAGTTTCATTAATGCATCTCCAGTAACCATCAATAAATCTAAATAGCACCTCGACAGTAACGAATTTATTATCGATCTTTTTCGGTACCAAATTCTTAGAGGTTAAAAGTTTTTCTACAAAGGTTTTCACATGATCACGAGATATTTTGTTAATATCTAAAAACTCGGTTCAGAAAAAATTTCTCCGACTAACGAAAATCAAAATTACCATTAAAATCGCCTTTAAATTCCTTTGTCTCAACTTGATTTCCAGGCTTTGGCATCAAAAAACACTGAATTTTCTCACCGTTATCTTTAATAGTTTTTTGTATTCCACTTAGGTTGGATTGTTGATGTGCTTTGAAAGTAGAAGTTAATAATTCCAGGTAAGAAGCAGTGGGAGCTATTAAAGACGAATTGGATTCACTTCAAGCAAATAATACCTGGACTATCGTACCTAAACCTCTAAATAAAAACATAGTTAGCTGTAAATGGATTTTTACTATTAAAACAAATGTTTAGGGAAATCCACAAGGGTACAAAGCGCGACTGGTAGCACGGGGTTTCAGTCAAACTTATCCAACTGATTCTACAGAGACTTTTGCCCCAGTCGCAAGGATTTCCGCTTTCAGGCTACTGTTAGCAATTGCCAATCAGTTTAATTTGTTAGTCCATCACATGGACGTAAAAACGGCTTTCTTAAACGGAACATTAAATGAAGAAATTTATATGCAAGTTCCGAACGGTGTTAAAACTGCAAACAATCAGGTGTGCAAATTAAATAAAGCGTTATGTGGTCTGAAACAGGCGTCAAGGCGGTGGTTTGAACATTTTGACTCCATAATTAAAGCAAAAGGTTTTCAAAATTTAGCAGTCGATCATTGTCTTTACTACTTAAATAAAGAACACGTTAGTAAATATTATATGGTATTATATGTAGATGATTTAATAATAATTGCCACACAGGATAAACACACAATGTTCTCCTGTAAAAAATATCTCATGACATGTTTTGAAATGAGAGATCTAAATCAGGTTCGATTCTTTTTAGGAATAGAAATTAAAAGGGGAAACACTAGAATTTCTTTAAACCAAAAGTCCTACTGGAACTCTGTGTTACGAAAATTTAATATGAGTCTCTGCAAGTCTACTAAAACGCCCTTGCCGGAAAAAATCGATTATATAGGCTTAAATTCAGACGAAGGTTATGATGCACCATGTAAAAATCTGATTGGATGTTTAATGTACGCAATGGTTTGCACACGTCCTGTATGGCAATATTTAAAGAGGGTATTACGATATGTCAAAGGAACTCTTGATTTAGAATTAATACATACAAAAGGTGACGTTAATAACATTTTAATTGGCTATGTGGATTCAGATTGGAGAAACAATGACATTGACCGGAAAAGTACAAGTGGCTATCTTTACAAATTATACACTACTTGTACTATAACCTGGAATACTAGAAAACAACAAACAGTTGCAGTTTTATCAACTGAAGCTGAATACATAGCATTTTTACTTCCCGAGCGTAAGCAAAGGAAGTATTGTAATCGAGTCCGTCGGCCGACTCTCTACTTTTACGTTTTCTCGATCTTTCATGACCCCTAGAAGACGAAGAAATAGGTCTCCCATTTCCGTCTGTCTGTCCGTCTGTCCGTCTGTCCGTCCGTCTGTCCGTCCGTCTGTCCGTCTGCCGTCCCGGATTTTTATTAGACAGATAATCTCCGAAAGTACTCGACCGATTGTTGTGAAATTTTGTACTTATATTAAGAATATCATGTAGATGGTAAAACGCTAACCAAAATTTGTCTAATCATCCCCACCACTAATGCGATGACGTCACTTCAAAATTGTACATAGTAAATGGGTTTTCAATTGTATAAAATAACATAGTCCTACACATGTAGTTTACAACTCTGAATCGACTTTTCACCCGAAACGTCCAGATTTTTGGAAAAAAAATCAAAATTATAAAACAACATTTTGAAATTTAATTTTTAATCTGCTAACCAGAATGCTTTGAAATGTTGCAGATGTTTTAAGGCTATAAAGAGCATCATAAATCTTTAGTCAAAAAATATTTGCTTATCCCCTCCAAAAACTTGATGACGTCAGCTCAAAAGTTTGTGGAATAAATCATATCTAAAATGTACAAAATATGATGAGTCTGTACTTGTGATCTATCACTCCATTCATATTTTTTGGATTTGCATATACAGGGTGACTCAAAAAAATTAATGAATGCGTAAATTTATTTTACTGATTTACTCAGAAACTACAAAACCGAATGCTTTGAAATGTTGCAGATGTTTTAAGGTTATAAAGAGCATAATAAATGTTTAGTCAAAATATATTTGCTTATCCCCTCCAAAAAATTGATGACGTCAGCTCGAAAGTTTGCCGAATAAATCCTATCCAAACTGTAAAAATATGATGAGTCTGTACTTGTAATTTATCACTCCATTCATATTTTTTGGATTTGCATATACAGGGTGACTCAAAAAAATTAATGAATGCGTAAATATATTTTATTGATTTAATCAGGAACTACAAAACCGAATGCTCTGAAATCTTGCAGATGTTTTAAGGTCATAAAGAGCATAATAAATGTTTAGTCAAAATATATTTGCTTATCCCCTCCAAAAACTTGATGACGTCAGCTCGAAAGTTTGCCGAATAAATCATATCTAAAATGTACAAAATATGATGAGTCTGTACTTGTCATTTATCACTCCATTCATATTTTTTGGATTTGCATATACAGAGTGACTCAAAAAAATTAATGAATGCGTAAATATATTTTATTGATTTAATCAGGAACTACAAAACGGAATGCTCTGACATCTTGCAGATGTTTTAAGGTTATAAAGAGCATAATAAATTTTTAGTCAAAATATATTTGGTTATCTTCTACAAAAAACTGATGACGTCAGCTCAAAAGTTTGCCGAATAAATCGTATCTAAAATGTACAAAATATGATGAGTCTGTACTTGTGATTTATCATTCCATTCATATTTTTGGATTTGCATATGCAGGGTGACTCAAAAAAATTAATGAAGGCGTGAATTTATTTTATCGATTTAATCAGGAATTACAAAACCGAATGCTTTGAAATCTTGGGAATATTTTAAAGTTATTATAAGCATGGTAAACTTTTGTTCAAAATGTATTTGTTCATCCCTCCTAAAAAAATTGATGACGTCACCCTTAAATTTTGCTGAATAAATCCTATCTAAAATGCAAAAAATATGATGAGTTTGTACTTGTGATTTATCATTCCATTCATATTTTTTAGATTTTCTTAAGAGGTGGTTCAAAAAAATTAATGAAGACAATTTATTTTATTGATTAAATTAAAGGCAACACTTATTATTAGTATTACACCCCAACCAACCCAATTTGGTAGACACAAAATTTGTTAAAGGAAAAACTCGGTTGAAACATAAGGGTAGCACGTTTATTTACATCGACTTTAACATTACAGACCTGCATTTGTTTTATTCGTTCACTTGGTTCCGCGAATGTGAAATAGACATGTTTATAATCAACCAATTGTGAATTTCACCGTCAAGAATTAAAATAAAACCCAATGTTTTATATAATAAGCGGAAGTCGAAGCAATAAAACCGATGGTCGTTTTGTTTACAGTTTCTGTTTGACTCTCATGCACGTATGCTGTTACACTTGTCATCTTAAATTAACAATGTTTATACATACACGATTTTCAGTTGCCGTAAACGTGAGTAAATTGTTTCGTTATTTTATTGATTATAAAAAATCAATATTCAAAACGACCCAATTCATTTTCCCGAAAATTTGGGAATACAATAATTTTATTCTTAGTATTACACTACATCTATCCCAACTGATATACGTGTCCTTGCAAAAATGTTGATGACGTCATCGCAATTTTTTTTAAATTCCCACTACAAAAATGTAATGAGAAAAAAACACAATAGGCATGCAGTCGTCAAGTTTCCGACAGCGAGGGAAGTACTGTCTAAACTCTTTAGACCAATTTTTTGAAAGTGTAAAAGAAGCTATGTGGCTTAAGTCTTTGTTAAATAGTATCGGTGTACGGGTTCTAAATCCAGTTGTCAGTTTTGAAGACAACACCCGGTGCATAAACATTGCAAATAACCCCACAAAAAACAAAAAGTCAAAACATATAGATATTAAATATCATTTTACGAGAGAGCAACTTGAAAAAGGCAACATAACCATTAAATATGTCTGCACAGATGAACAACAAGCTGACATCTTCACCAAAGCGGTGCCTGTTGCAAAATTTGAAGCCATGAGAAATAACATAGGCTTACAATAAGGACGCCTTTGTAGTTAAGAATAAATATCTTAAGCTATATAACTGGTAACCAAGTCAAGATACCTGTATTTACTTCGTCGTTTTAATTTTTGAGTGGGAGTGTTGTAATTCGATATATTAATTAAGGCAAAAATTATTACGACCATATCCCATACTTTACCTGTTTATTTTACTGTTAAGTATTTGTTTATAAAGGGCGATAAATATAAGACGTCCGAGCGTCCGACGCTGAGTACTTCAGTTTAAATTTTATATTTTATATATGCACTTTAAGGACAATTGTGTTTTAGTTAACTCATTTCCTAGAGTGTTCTCCAGGCCCGGTTCCCGGTCTCCACTTCAACTTCGAGTGCGACTACAAGGACGACTTCGTCGATGACTTTTGTCCTTAGCACGCCTAGGTTCCTCGTCATCAACCTCAGGTGTTTGTCCTTGTTCTTTCGGCAATGGTCATACTTTCGTGTTCAGAACAACCACAAACTATCACTAAGCACTAACTTATAATCTGTTGTCAGGTCTTTAATCCCACTTCTGATATTAGCTTGTTTTTCCCCAAATTTAAAAAAACACAGCGTCAAAACAAATTCTTTATTCGCAGCTACTTTACAACGTATCCCATACAAGCTCAGCTATTGAATGACGCATCCATAGACGCATCCACCAGTCCGTGGTAGTTTCCTTGCCTGCCTCCTGACCTCGCACCGTTTCTCATATTCGCAATCGCACGATGCTCATCACAAGCTCAGCCTTGAGTCGCGACATCCAGCATAAGTGGCGCTAACATTATGTTAATATCAATGATAAAAAAATATAATAAATCTTAAAGAACAGTTTTTGTTTGCTTTTCAAGAATAAGTAATCATTACCAAAAAATACATAGAAAATATAATTAAAGAATAAAAAAAAACTGCATTAAAAAATTCTCTTGCTATGGGTAGCATGCCCCCAAACACGAATTGCATAACTCATACTGTGTGGTCTAATGTATATAATAAACGATTTAATGCTAAGAAACAAAATATATATATAATAAAAAAAATAATATATTTCACAAATCAAAAAAGCTGCCAAATGTTTCCAATTGAAAAATACTTCCAATTTAGAATACGAGGATTATTCTTCTGCAGCCTCGTTATTATAATTTTTTACTTTTACTACAACTTTTCCAATTGCACGTGAAGTTGCACCGAGTGCACTTCCCACAGATTTACCAGCTCCTGACATAAGAGCACCCAACACGGGACCACCTACTATTCCACCAGTAACTCCCCCAATAGCTGCTAAAATGTTTCCACCCCAGAAGACGATACCATTAGAAACATCGTCAACTCTCTTCATTTCAATTTTAGTTTTGTTATCATTATATATCTGCAAACATTCCTAGAATTGCAGTTTATTAAATTACTATATTATTTACATTAACGGAAAGAGTTATATACTTTTTTCAAATATTCCATAAATTTATCTCGTAATTCAACCTCGCAATTTAAGGTATTTTGTGCAAATGTCACATAGATTGCTTTCAACTTTTCATCAGCTTCTTCTAAACTTTTGCATTGTTGAATATCCCTGCAGTATTCGTCGTTTAGACGATTGAAATGTACGCAGGGTCTGCTAAAATCGGTATACACCTCCTTAAGCAGCTAAAAATACTTTTGTTACAGTCGCTTTATAGACAAGTATCAAAATTATTTTTTGTCATTTTCATTTCCTCAAGTGTTCCATATTAAATGATATACTTATGTACACTGAAAAATACTTACTCCATCTAGACGTTTCTTAAAATGATTACGTAATTTCTTCTCGCAGTTTAAGTTGCGGTTCTCAAATATTTTCGAAATTTCTGTCTGTTTGTCCATAGCTTCTCCTAAAGTTCTGTATTTTTTAACACTTTCGTAATATAGCTTCTTTAGTTCCTCTGCTTCTTTGAAAAGTACGGAAAAATCCTCAAACATCTTATCAAGACGCTAAAAATACTTCTGTTATAGTCGCTTTATACACAAGTTACAAGTTAGTGTCAAAATGAGTTATTATAAAAGATTATACCTTTCGGATGATTTTATGTTTAATACAAATTCCCTTTATTCAAGTATTTCAGATCAAATTATATAATTATTTTCACAGAAAAAACTTACTTCATTTAGAAGCTGTGTAAAATTATCTCGTAATTTCCTATCGCAGTTCAAGGTCTCTTGTTCAAATATTTCCAAAATTATCTTAATTGTTTCCTGGGCTTCTTCTAAACTTGTGCATTCTTTAAGCCGTTCGAAGTATAATTTTATTTGTTGATTTCTATAGTTGAGAAGTATGCGAAAATCATTTTGCACATTATCAAGTAGCTAAAAGTATTTTTAGACACTTGATAAGATGTATAATGACTTTTGCATACTTTTCAACCGTGTAAATAAACTAAAAAAGGAATATTCCACCCTTGTTAAAGAATGCAAAACTTTAGAAGAAGCTCAGGAAATGATCAAGACAAATTTGAAGATGTTTGAAGAAGATAACTTGAACTGCAACAAAAAATTGCGAGATCATTTTAAGCAGCGCGTAACTGCAGTAAGTTTCTTTCCGGGTATAACATAATTTAATCTGAATCACTTGAAGACAGGAAAATTATGACAAGCATAAAAGCACATATTTTATTATTTTCATTAATTTATTAATTCGTAATCTTTCAAAGCAAATAATTGTGACACTTGTGTATAAATCGACTTGTAACAAAAATAATTTTATTACAGTCTCTTTATATGCAAATGTCAAAATTATTTGTTGTAAAACAATATATATTCGGTGTGCTTTTATAGATATTTAACATAAGTTTGTAACATAGCTTTCATTTTTTTTAAGTATTTCAGATTCAAATATATAATTATTTGGCCTGAAAATAACTTACTGCATTTAGTTGCTGTTTAAAATGATCTTTTAATTCCCTTTCAGTGTTCAAGTGTCCTTCTTCAAATGCCACCAAAGCCATCATAATATGTTCGTGGGCTTCCTCTAAAGTTTGGCATTCTTTAACAAGGTTGGAATATTCCTGCGTTAGTTGATTCACGTGATTGAAAAGTATGCGAAAGTCATCATAGGCCTTAATAAATGCCTAAAAATTCTCCTGTTACATTCATTTTATACACAAGTGTCAACATTTTTTGTTGTGAAAGATTATATGTATTCCGTATGATTTTATACTTAACAGAAATTTCCTTTCTTTAAGTGTTCCACATTAAATTAAGTATATAATTATTTCCACTGAAAAAAAAAAACTTACTGCGTTTAGTCGGTTCTTAAAATGATCTCGCAATTTCTTTTCGCAGTTCAAGTTCTTTTCGTCAAATATTCCCAAAATTCTCAACCTTTCTGCCAGTGCTTCCTCTAAAGTTCTGAATTCTTTAACGCTTTCTGAGTATTCCATTATCAGTTGATTTAGAAGATTGAAAAGTGTGATAAAATCCTTATGCACGTCATCGAGTTGCTAAAAATAATGTGGCTACAGTCGTTTCATACACAAGAGTCACAGTTATTTATTGTGAAAGATTATACACTTCGTATGCTCTTATGTTTAACATAAATTTCCCGTATTTCAGTTAAAATAAATAACTATTTACCCTGAAAACAACTTACTGCATTTAGGCGCTGTTTAAAATGATCTCGTAATTCCTTCCCGCAGTTCAAGTTCTCTTCTCCAAATGTCACCAAAATTCCTTGCATCTCTACCTCGGCTTGTTCTAAAGTTTTGCATTCTTTAACGCGTTCGAAGTATTCCTTTATCAGTTGATTTACATGTTCCGAAAGTAGACAAAAATCATTATGCATCTCTTCAAGTGGCTAAAAATACTCCGGTTAGAGTCGCTTTTAACACAAGTCAAAATTATTTGTTATGAAAGAAAAATAACTTACTGTATTTAGGGCCTTCTTGAAATGATCTCGTATTTCCGTCTCGCAGTTCAAGTTCTCTTCTTGAAATTTCATCAAAATTCTCTGCATCTCTACATGGGCTTCCTTTGAGCCCTTGCATCCTTTAATAATGTTGGAGTATTCGTCTTTTAGTTGATTTGCATGAGTAAAAACTTTGCGATAATCATTATAAATCTTATTAAATTCCTAAAAATAGTCTTGCTCTAGTCGCATTATATACAAGTGTCAAAATTATTTGTTATTAAAGATTATACACTACGTATGCTCTTATGTTTAACATAAATTTCCCGTATTTCAGTTAAATTAAATAACTATTTACCCTGAAAATAACTTACTGCATTTAGGCGCTGTTTAAAATGATCTCGTAATTCCTTCCCGCAGTTCAAGTTCTCTTCTCCAAATGTCACCAAAATTCCTTGCATCTCTGCCTCGGCTTGTTCTAAAGTTTTGCATTCTTTAACGCGTTCGAAGTATTCCTTTATCAGTCGATTTACACGTTCCGAAAGTAGACAAAAATCATTATGTATCTCTTCAAGTGGCTAAAAATACTCCGGTTAGAGTCGCTTTTAACACAAGTCAAAATTATTTGTTATGAAAGAAAAATAACTTACTGTATTTAGGGCCTTCTTGAAATGATCTCGTATTTCCGTCTCGCAGTTCAAGTTCTCTTCTTGAAATTTCATCAAAATTCTCTGCATCTCTACATGGGCTTCCTTTGAGCCCTTGCATCCTTTAATAATGTTGGAGTATTCGTCTTTTAGTTGATTTGCATGAGTAAAAACTTTGTGATAATCATTATAAATCTTATAAAATTCCTAAAAATAGTCTTGCTGTAGTCGCATTATATACAAGTATCAAAATGATTAAAGGTTATACACTACGTATGCTTTTATGTTTAACATCAATGTCCTTTCTTCAAGTGTTCCTGATAAAATTATATAATTATTTAGACTGAAAAAAACTTACTTCATTCAGACGATTCTTAAAATGAGCTTGTAATTTCTTCTCGCAGTCGGAGTTCTTTTCGTCAAATATCAGTGATATTCTCTGCCTCTCTGTCAGAGCTTCGTCTAAAGTTTTGCACTCTTTAACACGTTCGGAATATTCCTTTATTAGTTCATTTACATGGTTGAAAAGTATGCGAAAATCACGATACACCTCATCAAGTGGCTAAAAGTACTTTTGTTACAGTCACTTTAATCACAAATGTGGAAATTATTTGTTGTAAGAGATAATACATTACGTGTGCTTTAATATTTAACATAAATTATCTTCCTCCAAATGTTTCAAGTTATGTTATAAGTATAATTATTTACCCTGAATACAACTTACCGCATTTAGGAGCTGCTTAAAATGATCTCGTAAGTTCGTCTCGCGGTTCAAGTTCTCTACTTCGAATGTGACCAAAAGTACTTTAATCCTTTCCTGGGCTTCCTCTAAAGTTTTGCATTCTTTAACAAGGTTAGAGTATTCCTCTGTTAGTTGAATTACATGGTTGAAAAGTTTGCAAAAGTCATTATACACCTTATCAAGTTGCTGAAAATGCTTTTGTTACAATCGCATTAGACACAAGTGTCAAAATTATTTCTTGTGAAAATTATACATTTAACCATTGTTTAACCTAAATTCTCTTTCTTGAATTGTTCCAGCTAAAAATATATAATTATTTACACTGCAAAAAACTTACTATATTTAGGCTATTCTTAAAATGATCTCGTAATTTCTTCTCGCAGTTCAAGTTCTCTTCTTCAAATGTCACCAAAATTCTCTTCATTGCTTCCTTGGCTTGGTCTAAAGTTTTGTATTCTTTAACGCGTTCCGAGTATTCCATTATTAGCTGATTTACTTGGTTGAAAAGCATGCAAAAATCATTATACGCCTTATCAAGTGACTAAAAATACTTTTGTTACAGGGTCGAAATTATATCTAGGGAAAGATTATGATATTTAACAAAAACTTTCTTTTTTCAAGGATTCCAGATAAAATTACCTAATTATTATTAAACTGATAAAAACTTACTTCATTTAACCGTTGCTTAAAATGATCTCGCAATTCGTTCTCACAATCCATGTTGTCGCTTTTTTCTTCAAATTTAGCCAAAATTCTGCTCATCATTTCCTGGCCTTCTATTAAAGTTCTACATTCTTTGACGCTTTCGGAATATTCCTTTATTAACTGATTCATGAGGTCGAAAAGTGTGTGCAAATTCTTATACATCGTATCAAGCAACTGAAAGGGAGTTTTCTTACACTTGTTTCATATAAAAATAATTATCTAATTATTTATCGTGGAATATTATATATTCCGTGTGTCTCTTGTTTAACATAAAGTTCCTTTTTTCAGTTGTTAAAGATTACTTTGTGTTATTATTTCTACCGAAAAAACTTACTATGGTTAACCGCTGTTTAAAACGATCTCGCAGTTGGTCATTGCAATCCATGTTCTTGGTTTTGTCTCGAAATTTCTCCAGAATTGTCTCGTTCACTTTCGAGGTCTGTTCTAATGTTATACGTTCTTTAACGACTTGTATGTATTCCATTTTTAATACATTCACATGATCGAAAAGTATATGAAAATCTTTATACACCTTATGAAGTAGCTAAAAAGGAATTTGAATTATTGGCGTTTCATAGACAGTTGTCTTTATGAAATTTTAATAAATATTATAACTTACACCTGTTAACCGTTGCTCAGACAGTTCTTGTACCTCCTTGAGGGAGTTAAAAATGTTTGCTGATTTCTGGAATTTCTTCAAAATTCGGTCCTTTATCTTCTCCATCTCTTCTAAAGTTGTACATTCTTTTACATGTTCGATATATTCGTTTCCTAGTACATCTTCTTGATTTAAAATTCTGTGAAACTCCTTGCATAGCGCATCAAGCAGCTAAAAAGAATTTTTGTAGGCATTTTAAACAAGTCTCGAAATTGTTCTGAAAAATTACTATTTCGTGGGAAGTTTTAAAAAAATGTTTTAACACAGAAATTGAGTTGAAGTTAAATTAAAATAGTACATTACATACCGAGGTGGAAACTGTTTCATTACTTTCGATATAAAATTTTGTTTTATGTTGTAGCTAGTTAAAATGCAAAAATTGACATTTATTCATTGTCATTGGAAATATATAATAATTAAATCCGATTTAAAATCTGGTTGGCTGGAGTTTATAAGTTGGAAAAAGGAGACTTTCCAACTACTTTAAAAAACAAATCCGAAAACAATTATTCATTTTCTTCATTTTCCAACTTTTAAAAGTAAATATTTACCTGTGCAAGCTGTTTTTTAAAACTGTCTTGCAATTTTTCTGTGCCCAACTTCATCTCCCTTTGCTTTTCAAATGCTTTCAAAATTTCACTTTTCTCATTGTTAGCTTGTGTTCGATCTGTACAACTCCCTAGACGTTTCTTGTATTCTTCTACCTTTCCATTCACTAGGTGTTCAAAAGAAATCTTAGTAGTTGCCTAAAAATAGAAAATGACTATTGGAAAAGCATGGAGTTCAAACGCGTACCATGTAAATTGATTCAATGCATAACTTATCATTCTCATTAATACATCTCCAGTAACCATTAATAACTCCAAGTAACTCTGCGACCGTAATAAATTTATTATCAATCTTTTTCGGTACTAGATTCTCGGGCGTTAAAATATCTTCAACAAAGGTTTTCACATGATCGCGAAATATTTCTTTAATTTCTAAAAAGTGGAGATTCGGAAAATAATTTCTCCGACGAACAAAAAAAAAACATAATTACTATTAAAACCGCCTTTAAATTCCCTTGTCTCAACTTTACTTCCAGGCTTTGGCATCAGAAAGCACCGAACATTCGCAAAATTATCTCTAATAGTTTTTTGTATTTCACTTAAGTTGGATTTTTCGTGTTTCTTGAAAGTGGAAATTAATAAGTTCTCGCCCCCTTCAAAACCGAAACCGTACTCTTCATGATTTACCCAGTCTCGAATCAAAATGACCAAATGTTGGAAAGGTTTCTTGTCGCTGTCGCTAAACATCGCCCCATATCCTGCAAATAACTAAAAAGAAAGAAATAAATTCGCGTATGTAGAAATTAAAACTTTACTTGTAGAACACCAAGCTGCTCTAAATCAAGTTTGTTCTGGATGTTGTAAATGTGAACTGAACTAATTAATGCACTGAGGGCAAAAATCTTAGTGCACTCAGGGTAAGAAGTTTGGTGATCAGACATTCCTTGAGTGTCCATCAAAATTATAGCAATCTAAAACATAGAACCACATCTTCTTTTTTGTTAATCATAATGAAGGATTCTACTTTTTCGCCTTCTTTTGTTTTCGTTAAAAAAATTTCGGGACATATAAGTATACCATCTGTAACTCCCTGTGAACTTTTCTCCCATAAAAATCCACTAGTTAGGGTGTCGTTGACATCCATCCATTCTTGTTCCACACTTTGACACTGAAACATATACAAATTCATGAAAAGCACTGCATGTAAAAAATACACAGTTTAATTTTTTAATAGATAAAATAATTAAATAATACAATATTAAGGCAGCAGATACTTTCGAGGTAAACATCGCGTGATTGCGAAATTAGTTAATTGCCAACTCTGGTTCAGTTTTTAATCGTACTACTTTAATTTCATCGCACCATATTCCCTCGATTCTAAAGTACAATCTAACAAACACAGCTGCTTCGAAAATAAGTTGATTAATTTATATTTTTTAAGAAATCTTATGTAAGCAATTAAGAAAAACTTGGCTCATGAGAAGATCGAACCCGAACACAAGTTTACGAGTATAATACTTTATAAAAAGTAAATAGCATTTACAACGCAAAATTTTGAAATTTTTCGTCATATCGTTGATGGGGATGATTAGACAATTTTCGATTACCGTTTTACCATCTACACGATATTCCTAAAATACAACGCTGTTACTTCTTTAATTTAGGCTCGGGAAACAAAAATTAGGGAATATTTTTAAAAGTTGTTTTAAGCATATAAAACTTTACCTTCTTCTTCAAAAAATGCAAAAAGAAATTGAGAAGAAAAGATTTGCCTGTCCTGTAGCTTCCAGTCACTGAAATGACGCAAACTTTGTAATCTTTGAACTTAGCGCTTTTTAGTAATTCCAGTTGATCTTCGTAAAATATCATTTTTCTCTTCTTTGCATCGATTTTGAATATTTGAATAGCATCTTGTTGATTACTCTGGAAAAATTATTCAAAAAATATGCCATTTGTAAAATTTAATTTCCAAATATAAAAAAGTGAGATATTCAAGGATTCAGTTGATTTTGTAAAGATGTAATAAAGCTGTTTTAATTTAAGTCGACCACTTGTTAATATCTTTGTGCAATGTTAAGATTTCTGATTATGTAGGATAGGACACCGCTCAATACTTACATTATCTGGAAGGATGGACACACTTGTAAATGAACTCTTCATAGTACCTGAACTTGAAGCCATTCTGAAGAATGCTGCTGCTGGTGTCTTTTCTTTAGCTCATTTCCGTAGCAAGGAAATCGGGCGCAATTATATATACACAGGTTCCTTTAAAAGAGCTTCACATAAACTATTTTTTTACACTCAAAAATTTCTTTTTATCAGCCTTTAGTTATCTTTAAATTAAATTATCGCCGTATGATTCCATAGTTCAAGGACGCAACTTTTCGGTAAACGTTACATGTGAAACTAAACGTCAACTCTATTGTTTTACTGCTTAAGCAATATCTAAGGGCAGTTATGTTTGTTAAATAGAATTTCTTTTTATAATACTACTTTGAAATTCAAGAAACCTGTTTTATTGAAACTAAAATGTATTGTTTGTTATGGAATAATTTTAAAAAGCAATTATTTTGAAAATTAAAACTTACTATTCTTTATTCCTATATCTGAAAGTCATGATTTGTTAACGGAAGGAAATTATTCCCATTACAGAATGGTTTCTCTTTTTTTTATGACTTTTTGCAAAATTGTATAAAATTTATCTTCGGATATTACCATGTACATATTTTTAATCGCAAAAAAAACTACAACTGTAACAAATATATATAAGCACTATTATACACTGACCGGCAAAAAAACCGGCCACCCTGAAAAATTTCGCAAAACCACTTTAATAGTTATTTATGCAACAAGTGCAAAAAGTGACTGATTCTTGCACGCGACGTAACAATTGTCCGACGAGACCGAAGGTCGAGTTGGACAATACGTCAAGTGCAAGAACACTTTTGCACGTGTTGCATACAACATTTTTTCTACAATCGTGGGTATAATGCACCAGTTTTATTGGAGATTTGAATAAAATTCTACAACAACCAAAAGGTATCATCATGCTGTCTTATGTTAGTTAGTCGTGACTACCATGACAACCAAACAATGTTTCCAAAAAAAAAAACAATTTGCAAAGTAAAATAAAACACCAGAAATAAGTAGTGAGTGAGTGTTTTGAACCGTGCTGACCCCAAAATGAGCGATTCGAGTGAAAATGAAATTACCGAGATGGCCAATGCGTCAATATTTAATTTGTTGCCCGAGAAATCCCACAAAACAATATGATCTGACATACAACCGGTTCAAAGAATGATGTGTGGACAAAAATGTTGTGTAGTTAACAGAAACCGTGCTTCTGGCTTATTTGTCCAATCAGTCAACGAAGGTAAAGTCTTTTACCCTCTAGTCCGAATATTCCATGATACGTGCTTCCCTTTTGGTGAAAGAAAATATGAATAAACATGAAATTTGACGTTGATTAGATTGACATTAGAGTGCAATAAAAATTTTCTTGCACTAGTGCAAGAAAGTGCCACTTTTTGCACTCTAAACCATTGACATATGAGTCATTTTTTACACGATTGTAGAAAAAAATTATTAATTTAACTAGTGATCGTTATTTTATTAAAGAACCATTCACTATTGACACATGATGTACAGATTAACAAAACAAAAAGGCAAACAAACGCAGAATTAAATTTAATTCTATGATTCCCTGTTCATTTTTGTATTTTTGTTGTTGATGATGATTAAGCAAGTTTTTGGTTGAAGTTTTACGATTTTCAAGATGATGATAAAAAAATATGTGAAATTTCGAAATCAGATAAAAAACAATTCCTAATTTTACAAAATATCAGATTATTTATTGATATATGAATTATTATATGATAAAACAACAATAGCAAAGATAAAAATTAAATTTAAAGTACTGTGCGCAAATTAAACAAATGTAGGGAGTGCTTCACTTAATTTTTGGTAATTTGAGAACTAATGGTAATTATGTTTGTTCCCCACGGTATTTAAAAACTGTGATAATTAAGTTTTATGTTCTTTCATCAGGGACGTATCTCAAGAGGTACAAGGCAAAACAAATATTTTATGTATTATGTTTGTTAGCGCTCCTGGCGGGGACATCTGTCACTTTGAAATAAGGGTGGTGAGAACCACCAGGTAGATTAAGGAATTCAATATTCAAATTTAAAATAGAGCACTAACTGAATCACTTCTAGACCGTGAGGTCAAATATTCTCTTATTCTTTTTTGTATATGTTACAGTCAAAGTGTTCATTCCGTCAATGTATATGTTACAGTCAAAGTGTTCATTCCGTCAATGTATACACTGACTGGCCAATGTATGCATTGACTGATTTGCTCAGTAAATGTGTTCACAATGGACGATGTGTAAGCTTTAACTCGTCAATGTATACATTAACGGTTCCCGCTTAGTCAAAGTTTGCACCAAATAATACATGGTGACATAACCTCACATTGTACCTACTGATGTTTTAGGGTTTTATGTTTATTTTATTGTCTTCTTCGTTATCGATTTCGACATGCTAACCCTTTCTTTTATTAATTTATTATCATCTGCAAACTTAAAAAACACTAGCTACATGTGGGAGTAATTCCTGAAAGTTTTTTCATTTATCCTATCTTATCTGTACAGGTTTAGAGAACAACATAGAAAGTTTAACTTTTTATGTTATTTCTATTTCTCCATAAGCATTAGTGAATATACTGTTCAGCACTTAACTCATTTTTAATAAAAATGTCACTTGTACTACTTCTTCTCTGAGCTCCTCAATTGTGATATTTAAGTATTTCTTTTTATTGAAACTTTGACTAACGGACTGCAGTAAATGCATACACTGCCTAGTGAATGTATACATTTACTAGTAAAAGTATCCATTTCCATGCGCAGTGAATACTTTGGCCAAAACCGTACGTCAATGTATACATTGACTAGCCAATGTATGGAATTGACTGATTTGCTCAGTAAATGTGTTCACAATGGACGATGTGTAAGCTTGAACTAGTCAATGTATACATTAACGGTTCCCGCTTAGTCAAAGTATGCACCAAATAATACATGGTGACATAACCTCACATTGTACCTACTGATGTTTATTGTTTTTGTGTGGTGTGTAGTACATATTAAGTGTTAGTTTAATATTATAAAACACTTAATATGTATTACACACCACACAAAAACAATAAATCACAAATACCGCTAAAACATCAGTAGGTACAATGTGAGGTTATGTCACCATGTATTATTTGGTGCATACTTTGGTACATATTTTCCAAATTGCTGCTTTTTCTAAGTGTAGCTTATCTCAAAGGTTTAAAATTTAATGTTTTCTCGTCATGTTATTTCAAAATCTTTACATGTTGGGATCATTATTTGAGTTTATAGTTCTATAAACACCTAACAAATCTATTTATGTGCCGAACCGTTTTTTTGCTCCTCTTTTCTCTTCTAGCAAGAGTCTTCGACGATCTCGTTGGTTCTTGCTGACCGACATTGTAAGTAACATTTATAAAAAAATTGGTCTAAAGAGTTTAGACAGTACTTCCCTCGCTGTCGGAAACTTGACGACTGCATGCCTATTGTGTTTTTTTTCTCATTACATTTTTGTAGTGGGAATTTAAAAAAAAATTGGGATGACGTCATCAACATTTTTGCAAGGACACGTATATCAGTTGGGATAGATGTAGTGTAATACTAAGAATAAAATTATTATATTCTCAAATTTTCGGGAAAATGAATTGGGTCGTTTTGAATATTGATTTGTAATAATCAATAAAATAACGAAACAATTTACTCACGTATACGTATCAGAGGCAACTGAAAATCGTGTATGTATAAACATTCTTAATTTAAGATGACAGGCGTAACACCATACGTGAGAGTCAAATAGATAAACTGTAAACAAAACGACCATCGGTTTTTTGCTTCGACTTCCGCTTATTATATAAAACATTGGGTTTTATTTTAATTCTTGACGGTGAAATTCACAATTGGTTGATTATAAACATGTCTATTTCACATTCGCGGAACCAAGTGAGCGCATAAAACAAATGCAGGTCTGTAATGTTAAAGTCGATGTAAATAAGCGTGCTACCCTTATGTTTCAACCGAGTTTTTCCTTTAACAAATTTTGTGTCTACCAAATTACAGAGTGACTCAAAAAAATTAATGAATGCGTAAATATATTTTATTGATTTAATCAGGAACTACAAAACGGAATGCTCTGACATCTTGCACATGTTTTAAGGTTATAAAGAGCATAATAAATGTTTAGTCAAAATATATTTGCTTATCCCCTCCAAAAATTTGATGACGTCAGCTCGAAAATTTGCCGAATAAATCATATCTAAAATGTACAAAATATGATCAGTCTGTACTTGTGATCTATCACTCCATTCATATTTTTTGGATTTGCATATACAGGGTGATTCAAGAAAATAAATGAAAGCGTAAATTTATTTTACTGATTTACTCAGGAACTACAAAACCGAATGCTTCGAAATCTTGAAGATATTTTAAAATAATTTGAAGCATGGTAAATTTTTGATCAAAACGTATTTGGTCGTCCCCCCTAAAAAATTTATGACGTCACCACAAAATTTTGCTGAATAAATCCTATCTAAAATGTACAAAATATGGTGAGTCTCTTCTTGTGATTTATCATTCCATTCAAATTTTTTCGATTTGCATATACAGGGTGACTCAAAAAAATTAATGAATGCGTAAATTTATTTTATTGATTTAATCAGGAACTACAAAACCGAATGCTTTGAAATCTTGCACATGTTTTAAGGTTATAAAGAGCATAATAAATGTTTAGTCAAAATATATTTGCTTATCCCCTCCAAAAACTTGATGACGTCAGCTCGAAAATTTGCCGAATAAATCATATCTAAAATGTACAAAATATGATCAGTCTGTACTTGTGATCTATCACTCCATTCATATTTTTTGGATTTGCATATACAGGGTGATTCAAGAAAATAAATGAAAGCGTAAATTTATTTTACTGATTTACTCAGGAACTACAAAACCGAATGCTTCGAAATCTTGAAGATATTTTAAAATAATTTGAAGCATGGTAAATTTTTGATCAAAACGTATTTGGTCGTCCCCCCTAAAAAATTTATGACGTCACCACAAAATTTTGCTGAATAAATCCTATCTAAAATGTACAAAATATGGTGAGTCTCTTCTTGTGATTTATCATTCCATTCAAATTTTTTCGATTTGCATATACAGGGTGACTCA